CCGCTCCGTGTCTCCAGCTCCTTCCTCGCTGTGTCCCACACCCGCGCAGCTGCGGTTTGCTCACAGTTACACCGATCGACCCGCTGATCTCTCATAAAGGCGAGGGCGAAGATGTGCGGAGCTCCAGGCTGGGGAGCCTCGCCCCGATCCCTGGGAAGGCGGCGGAGCCAGTAACCCCTGGAGCCGTTTGCAAACACAGCGACGACAAGGAGATGTCTGGGATCTGTCAGCACAGGTTGCAAAGGGCTTCCATCCCTGATGCCTTCTGCATGGAAATTACTAGAACGGTAGATTTAGATTAGAGGTTAGGGAGACATTCTTCTCCGTGGGGGTGGTGAGGCCTTCTTGGTTGCCCAGAGCAGCTGTGGCTGCCCCATCCCTGGAAGTGTCCCAGGCCAGGCTGGATGGGGCTTGGAGCACCCTGGGCTTCTGGAAGGTGTCCCCGCCCATGGCAGAGTCTGGAACAGGATGAACTTTAGGGCCCTTTCCATTCTATGGCAGGTTCAGAGGATGAGGAGAGGGTCATGGATATTGTTTGTTCTCCACCCATGTGCAGTTCTGGGCTCCTCAGCACAAGAGAGACATGGACATACTGGAGAGAGTCCAGCGAGGTGCCGTGGAGATGATGGAGTGGTTGAAGCACCTCCCCTGTAAGGAAAGACTGAGAGAGTTGGGGCTGTTCATCCTATGGAACAGCAGAGTTGGGGAGGGCTCATCCAGGTCTGCAAACACCTGCAGGGAGGGTGCAAAGAAGAAGGAGCCAGGTTCTTCCCAGTGGTGCCCAGTGCCAGGAGCAGAGGCCATGGGCACACACTGATCCACATCAGGAAATACCTTTTCCCTGTGATGGTAACCACGGGCTGGCTCAGGTTGCCCAGCGTGGCTGTGGAGTCTCCAACCTTGGAGGTGTTCAAAAGCAGTTGGGATTTTCTGAGCAGCCAGCATTAGCTGCCCCAGCTCGAGGCTGGACCAGACAACATCAGGAGTTCTTTTTCACCTTCAAGATTCTGAGATGCTGTGAAGGATTTTGTATCGAGGTGTGGATATGCACACTCCCATCATAATAAATAAACAGTATTTCTTGAGGTTGTCTTTCTATGAACTGACATTTTAACCATCTACCCCCAGCACCAGGCATACAGCATTGCTCATACTACATTTGTTTCTCATCTAGTTAAATAATTTTTTTTTTCTTTGTCATCATGGGCAAAGAAAGTCTTTTTTCTAGCTGACACATGTAGCGTCACATCTTTGATTTCCAAATCAGTGTCATCACTTTTCTTCTTTTGGAGGCGATAGCCAGTTTCCAAAAACGACCAAAAGGACAAAAGGAGTCACAAACAGAAAACATTTTCAAAATTGCAACTGTTACCTCTAATTTTAGCACATGTCTATGAAAACCTCTAAATTGTATCTAGTAAGAGAGCTGACATTTGTTACACAATTCACTAAGAGCTGTCACAGTCCTGAACAAGTTGTAGCTTGTCGGAAAGCTGTGGTAATTTGAAGGACTGTGATAATTAAGAAATGTAATGCCAATGGGAATTTATCTCCATCCCTCAGATGGCCCAGGAGGAGAGACAGCCCTGGAGTGGCTGGGGTCCCTTCCTCAAGACAGCAGATACACAAAATGCTCTAAGGAAAGTCTCTGTCTGTCAGCATGACCTAAAAACCACCTTCCTCTTCTTATTTGTAGTCCAGTGTGGTGATTTGACAAATCTGGAAGCAAAACATCTTCCTCCTCTTTGATTTTCTTTTAAAATTTAAAGTTGTCTCTTTAGGCTTGTTTTGTAAAGGTTGTGGAATCCCCACCCCTGGAAGTATCCAAGGCTGGACAGGTCTTGGAGCACCCTGATCTAGCAGAAGGTGTCCCTGTCCATGACAGGGGTGTGGAATGGGATGAGCTTTAAGGTCCTTTCCAACCCAAACCAGTCTGGGATTCTGTGATGTAATGTGGAAAAGACAGAAGCTGTTGATCTAAGGAGACAAGGTACAGAGCAGCCCTCTGCACCTGGGAGGTGCTGAGGCCTGCATGCAGAGCAACATTGGTGGGACCCACTGGTGGCACCTCAGAGAGGGAAACCCCTGGATGAAACACCCTCAAGCTACATCCGGCTACATGTGAGACCTTAACTTTCAATTCTTAACCTGCTTGGGGTTGTTGGTTCTTGCTTTTTAGCTGGGGGAAATGGTTCTTCCCAGGTGCTGATGTGTTGAAAAGCGTATGGAGGCAGGCAGGCTGGCAAGGACAGTGAGACCCATTTTATTTTTAATAACAAACATTACAAAGTCTTGAGCATTCATGTCTAAGCAACTGTCAGTTTTCACATCAGCGATTCATTTGTTTCTGCCAGACGTCTATGTTGTAGTAAATTACCTTGAGCTGGTTGCAAAACTTGCCTGTTACAAAACTGTAATTAATGTTTCAGAAACTCGGGGGAAGATTTGTTATTGGCAGGGTGAGTATGAATCCCCAGACACAAACATTCCTCTAAGATAACACCGTAGCCCTTGGTGTTACCGACACACACACAAAAAGTGGTGTAACTTAAACCAGGGTAATTAATTACACAGATGACTTCTGTATACAATTAAAACCCTTTACAGCTATCACTTTGGCTTTTTGGTCTCACTCACTCCCTGCCCTCTTCATTGTCCCAAACTGGATTTTTCTGTCTTTTTCCTTATTGGTACAAATATTGATGAGCTGGTGCATGTCTTCACTGAAGATCCCTCTGTACAACCACTGATCCACCACAAACACAGGAAAACCTGCCTCTACCTCACATCCATCCTCACTCAGCACAACTTGTAGTGGTTGTGATACTCTCTTGCAGTGATGGAGCCCTGACCTTAAATTCCTGAGTCAAATCTAAGACAACAAAGCCATGTATCCCAGCGAGTTTGGGAACAGGAATAAGTACCATAATGTGGCAAAATCCCAATAGAGAAGGACTGTTTCATGACTTAACATGCTTCTGAATCCCATTTGTTGGAATTTGGTGGATTCCCAGTTGGAGACATGATGAGATTTCTTGCAGGGAGGTTGCAGTCAATCCCTGCTGAAATGCCAAGATGCACGTTGCCCACATCACCTTTTTCTGGTGCAATACCAAACCCATTCTACTACTCGACCAGGAGACCAGCAGAATAACTTCCAGACAGCCAGTTTTCTTCACCATGGGAACTGCAGGCTCCAGACAGTATGGACATGCTCCAAGGCCTGGGCAAGCAAGGACCCTCTGTGCAATCCTCTGAGCTGACAGCAGAGCCCCAGGCTTTGTGTGGCTCTGCCCAAGAAGAGCTGACATGAGCACTTGAGGGGCTCCTCATGGCTGCTGAACACGACTGGGATTCACAGTGACCGCTCTCCTTCTCCAGCCGCCTCTGAACAGTCACTCCCACTCTCCAGCCTATGGCAAGAGAGCCTTCTCAAGACCCTCTCCTGATGAAGCAATGTCTCCAGTGGCTGCAGTGTCCATTCCCTCTCCTGATGAAGCAATGTCTCCAGTGGTTGGGGAGCACCATGATTTCCCCATACCTTTCCCAGGGTGACAAGGGCTTGAGCTGTTCTTGCCTTTGTGCCTCCACTTGCCCCATGTGATGGCAGTGGGATGGCTCTGTGAACCAGAGAGAACTGATCCAGGCTGGTAAAGCTCTTCAGGGAAGGAATTAAACTTTGAATCATCCCTTATCATAGAATCATGGACTCATTTCGGCTGGAAAGGCCCCCTAAGGTCATTGAGTCCAACCATTAATGCAGCACTGCCATGTTCACCACTGAACCATGTCCCCAGGTGCCACATCCACTTATGTTTAAATCCTTCCAGGGCTGGGGACTCCACCACTGCCCTGGGCAGCTGAGTCAGTGTCTGAACATCCTTCCAATGAAGAACATTTCCTTAATATCCAACCTAAACCTTCCCTAATACAACTAGAAGCCATTTCCTCTTGTCATCCTGGGAGCAGAGCCCAAGCCCCACCCGGCTGTCCCCTCCTGTCAGGGGGTTGTGCAGAGCCAGAAGGCCCCTCCCGACCCTCCTTTTCTCCAGACTGAGCCCCCCCAGCTCCCTCAGCTGCTCCTGCTGCTCCAGACCCTTCCCCAGCTCCATTCCCTTCTCTAGACTTGCTCCAGGCCCTCAACATTTTGTGGGACCCAGAACTGCTCCCAGGATTCAAGTTCAGCTTACACTTAGTCTAACAAGTGGTTGTTTGGGCAAAAACAAAGACTGAGGTACTTGACTCCCAGGTGGGACCCAGCTGGAGGGACAGCTGCTTGGGTAGAGGAACCACAGCCCACATTGCTCCTGGAAACTCTCCCAAACTTTGGTAAAAAATTTAAACAAAAGCTTGAGAAAATTGCAGGAAAAATAATTCCATCAGGGTTGTCAGTCTTAAACTGCCAGTGGCACACTTCAAACAGTATCAGTGCAGTTGTATCTTGAAAAACTTCCCCAAGAAAGCTCGAGAAATTGCTTTGCACTCTCACAAAAAGAGGAATGGGATTGGCACAAGGTCAGTACACGGCACAGGTGTAGCTGAGGGATGAGTGGAATGTTTTTCCCAACAGGAGGAACAGGCAGCCAACGTGACCAAGTTTAAGGTAAGGTGGGAAAGAAGAGGTCAGTAGATTAAATTCTTCTGCTTCAAATTATCACACAGAGCTAGGAGAGGTATTTATTAGAACATATCAATATGTTTCCAGATGTTAAACAAGAATTAAGGGCAACATAGCCCCAAAACAAGGGGCTAATGTACAGAAGCTAATTCCACTAGTAGAATAAGGATAAAATAGCTCAGAAATGGGGGTTTCTGTGCACAGGCCCCTCCCCTCACCCCCCCAACCTGTGCCACTTCTTCCCTGGCACTTGCATACTTAAATACCCTTCTTCATGCTTCTGGTTGTTGAAATGACCTCTGGCACTTTCCCAGGTGCTCACAAGGAGCCCTGCTGATCCTCCCCGTGGTGTAGTTAAAAGGTCATGGGGGACTGGGAAGCATCTGAGCAATTTAATATGGATCTGGGTGTGAGTGGGGTGGGTCCAACCCCAGGCAGGGCAGCACATTCTCAGGCTTTATTCCACAAGTTGTGCTGAGGAGCTGGATTTTAAACTGTTCCCAGTCTGGGGCACAGGCTTTTCTTCATAACTAGGGACAAGAGGATAACTAGGAACCAGAGGATTTTTCTTCTCGCTCTTCAAACCTTCAAGTTTCTAGGAATCCCACAGGTGAGGCAAAAAAATCCTCTGTGTTTGTCTTGCATTTGACTTATTAATGTCATACTAATGCATTTGGATCAGGAGCTGGGATCCACCCTGAGGAAATCAGGGCACTCTGCTGCTCTCACTCCCTGGGTAATCCTTCCACCAAGCTCTCAGCCAAGGGAAAGACCAGCACCTTGGAAAAACTGCTAAATTTTCAATTTGGTTTCGATTTTGTTAACACAAATGTCTTGGCTTCTACTTTGTGTCTTGCACTGTTTCACACATGAGGGCAGAGCCCCCCATACCTACTGCAGGGGGGTAAAAAAGAAAAGTCAGTGCAGCTTCAGCCTCCTACATGTCCTGTGCCTCCTGCATCACCTCTGCCTCTACTTATTGCACCTGCACCTCCTCTTCCTCCTGCATTTCCTGTGCCTCCTGCATCTTCTCTCCCTCCTGTGTTGCCTCTCATTCCTGCCTTGCCTTTGGCCCTTGTTCACCTTTAGTTCTGCCCCTCTGCCCAATGGGGCAGCCCATATTGGTACCACACAGGACACAGTTCCATGCCCCTGTGAAAGACCTGGAGACTGGCTGGAATCAATCAGCAGGAATTACTCCCCTGGAGAGGTCACAGCTGTCAGCCACATGTTGTGGGGCTGCAGCTCCTGAGAAGCAGTATTAGATGCAATATCAAGTTCCTAAAAGTTAGAAAGTCATAGAATCCCAGAATGGTTTGGGTTGGAAGGACCTTAAAGCTCATTTTGCTCCACCTGCTGTGGTGGGCAGGGACACCTTCCACTAGACCAGGTTGCTCCAAGCCCCATCAGTGCACATGGTATCGTAAGAAGTGCAGGGTTCTGAATACTTTTTGTTCAAACCAAGCTTTGAGAGAAAGGAAAAAAGATAGGAAACTATAAGGAGGTGTGACAAATGGGCTTTTCAGGAATGAAAAAAAAAATAAGATTTGTTAAGAAGAAAATTCTTTTAATGCCTTAAAAACATGACAGACAATGCTGAGAAAGCACTGTAATGGCACAGTCAAAAGTCATCTGAAAATGAAATTTTCCATTGTGGGCCTCCTTTGACCCCATTAACTGCAGACATTAGAGCATTTCACATCCTTTTTTTATCCTGTTAGGCATCCATGGGGCCTCAGTTAAGCTGGACTGTCACTCAGGACACTGAGCAATGGGCTGTGGTGGCTCTGATGTGTCAGCAAAAGATGTTTAACTGTAGGAGAAACAAATGTCTCTGGCCTTCAAGAAACAATTTTCCAAAGGTTGAACTCATATTGACTCATGCCACTGTAGCAGAGAAATGCACTCGGCACTCTCATCGCAGCCTACCGGGAATCAGCAGCATTTCCTGTGAGGGAAAACAGTGGAGAGGAGCCAGGAATGAATAAGCAGCCTCATTGCATTGTGGATCATAAAACCTCTTCCTATGAAAGGGCTAAGTAGGGCTTGTTAAAGCATTGATGAAGCCAGAGAATAAAATTACAATGAGGTATACAGGAAAATTATAACCTCCAGGTAGGTAAGTAGGTTGAGGTAGGAAGGAAACAGGTAATAAAGGAACTGGCCTCTTTGGGAGGTAGCTTATGTCATCTTCTCCTCGAGCACCTTTCCATGTCATAGAATACCCAGTGAAGAAATCTCTCCTGATATCCAACCCAAACCTCCCCTGCTGCAACTTGAGGCCATTTGCTCTGGTCCTACTGCTGTATGTCACATTCCTCAAGAAGGATGTGCATCACACCAGGACCTCAGAAAGAGCTTCTGCACTGCTGCCCATGACACAGGGACCACGTGTGTCTGAGACAGTCTCTTTGTTCCCACCACTGAAGTGGCCTGAAGGAAGCCACTGGAGTTTGCTGGTGTGCTGGAGGGCTGTGATGTGTTTCTGAATGTCCTGTGGGAGGAGTTGAGCTGGGCTGATGCCAAACCATGGCAATGGATGAGCATTAAATAGGGACTTACTTTGTCTCAGGGTCCCATGGCCGGCAGCAAAAACAGGGTGAGTGACTCCCCGGTGTGAACCTAGACAAGATCGACCTTTTGATGCTGTGAAATCCTGCAAGAATTTGTTTTAATTAGTGAAATTTGTTGGCAATGGTACCTACAAGCAACAGTTTTTCTTCTCATCAGAGAAGAGGAAGTGGGAAGATGAGAGGGAAAACAACATGGTGGCACTGAGGCAGTGGAAACAAGGAGGGGGAAGAGGAGCTTCGAGTGTTGGAGCTGAGAATCCTCTGCAGGCCGTGGTAAAGACTGTGTTAAAACAAACTGTCCCTCTGTAACTCATTAAGTCCACAGGGGATGCAGAGATCCACTCACAGCCCATGGGAAAAGTGCTCACACCAGAGAGGGTGGATGCCAGAGAAAGCTGGGATCCAGTGGGAAACCCAAATGAAGAGAGAAGACTTCTGCTTCCAGAGAGAGAGGGCCCTTGCTCCCAAACTAGAGCAGCCTATCCCTAGGGGAGTGCACCCCATGGATGAGTGACCCACACCACAGCAGTTTTGGGAAGGTTGTTTGTCCATGGGAGGGACCCCATGGCATAGCAGGGACAAGACTCCTGTCCCTGAGCAAACAAAAGACCTCAAGTGACAAACTGACCAAAACTCCCAGGCCTTGTCTCCCTGTGCTGTTGCTGGGAAATAGGAAGGGGCTGGGGGGAAAAAAGGTGTTTCAAAAGCTTATTTTACTTCACATTATCCTCTTCTGATTGCTAATAATAAATTTATTTTATACCTTTAAATTTGAATCTGTTTTGCCCTTAGAGTGTTTTTTCTCATAGCCTTTATCTCAACTCATGAGCCCTTTGTTAAATTTTTTCCCTCTCATCTGCCCAGCTCTCTGTAACAAGAGAAGTGAATGACTTTTGTGGGTGCCTGGTGTTTGGCCAGTGTTCAACCACAACAGAGTGAAAGACATCCATGACCCAAGGAACTCCAGACCCTGACAACACAGGCATGCAGACCACTTAGAAGGATTGATCTTCTGCTTTCAATAAATCTTCTCTTCTGCCCAAAATCCTTCCATTTCCCCCCACCCCAGACTGATTGCAATTTTCAGCATGTTTTTTGGTGTTCTCCATTACATCCTTGGTAGAACTGTCCCAAGCCAGTGCAAAGGCTGGACCCTCCAGCTGAGATCACACTTTTGATGCAAAGTGATTAACTTTGACATTACCATTGACAATGCTTCATTCAAGGACTATAGCACAAAAGAGCTGAAGAAGTGTGTGTATCCAGAATTAGGGCCCTGGCACAGGTTGCCCCATGCCTGGAATTGTCCAAGGTCAAGTTGGACAGAGCTTGGAGCAAGTGTCTCTGTCCATGGCAGGGGGTGGAACAAGATGAGCATGAAGGTCCCTTCCAACTAAACCAGTCTGTGATTGTGATTCACTGAAATTCAAGTGCAGGCTGGGGCTTCTCCCTGCCCACAGTGGAGCTGGAGCCTGGTCCGTGGTTACAGCTGAGGGTCATTCTGCTTCTTCTTGTCATTTTGGCCACCACAGTGACTCCATGGCTTGCAGGAGAGGGAGACTGGGGGCAGGCAGTGTCATGGGGAGCCCAGCAGCGATGCCAGTGTGATGGTCTGTGCAGGTGGGCACCCAGGAGGCTGCACAGCTCTCAGCAGGCTCAGGAGGGGCTCCAGGGGCTCCATTATACCAGCAGTGCACTCAGAAAGGCTATCCCCAAACTGGAAATGGTGTGCTAGTGATTAAATTGCAGATTTTCCCTAATTAACACAGATGCCAGAGAGACGTTTTTAAAAGGATGTGAGAAACTCAACAGCTGTTGAATTTGCACAGCCAACGTGCATGAAAAAAGCCCCATGGGTAGGAGAACACAGTTCTCCCAGAGGAGCTGCTCTGCTCTGCCTCTGACCTCCCAGGCATGACCCTCCAGGGACACCTGCAAAATAACCTCAGAAAAGAGAATTATAACTTTCAGTAATGCAATGGGCCATTTGTATCTCCACCAAACACAAGGGAGGCACCACCTTCTCTGCCTCTGCTCTTGGCTAAATGCTTTTGTATTCCACAGGCAGTGACAACCACCTTCTCTTTCCAGCTGTGAAAGATGCAAACCAGGTTAGCTGGCTCAGCTAACCTGCCCTCTGCTCTCCAGGAACAATTTCTTCTTCCTCTCTAATTACTCCATCTATTAACACAATAAAACTAGGCTAAGAAGGATTTTTCCTTGTGAGAGTGGTGAGACCCTGGCACAGGTTGCCCAGAGAAGTTGTGGCTGCCCCATCCCTGGAAGTGCTCAAGGCCCAGTTAGATGAGCCACGGCTGGAGTTCCCTGCTGAGAACCAATTCTTGCTGATGTTTCCTTTGTTAGAAATGATGACAGGCTGCCTTGGGCTACATTGGTGCTCTGCTTTGCTCTGGAAAGCAGGGAGGTTATCAGGCCACCACAAGTTCCCTGCACAACATTGGAGCTGTTTGGGACACAAGATTTAGCAAAAAAAAAAAGCCCAAAACCTGGAGAAAAGACCAGTAACAACAAAAAAGCAGAGGAAATCACGGGCTTGGGAAGTCCTTCCCAGAGGACAGAGTAAGTGGAACATTATTTTTGTATTTCTCTGCACCATGAATGGTTTCTTACGCAGAAATTCACTGCTGCACAGAGGGGAGCAAAGGTCCCTCTGGACTGGAGGCTGCAAAGGGGCTGTGCCACCCCTGAGCTCCTCTCTGTGCAGCCTGGCACAGCCCACAGGCAGGGGCCTCCAGGGAAGGACACGAGCAGTGCCCCAGGGGTGCAAGCACTGCTGCACACACAGCTCAGGAGCTTGTTGGACCCGGGAGTGCAGCTCCTGACCTGCAAAATACACAAGGGCATCAAAATAAGCACATCAAACCCTTGCCAGACTCCCAGAGCGCTCCGACACCCCAGCTCTCCTCCAGACCTCTAAAATCACAGGCACATTTACATTCCTCGGGAAGCTTCCAAAAAAAAAGCAGTCCAAGGACTTCCCAGAGGATCACCTGAAAAGATGCAGAAGCATCAAACACCTGAAGGTAAAAGCAGTCATTAAAAAGGCATAAACAAAGGGCATCATGATTGTTTTGCCACGTCTCCAGACTTGAAAGGAGGCTGAAATAACCTTTATATAATCCCATTAGCATTTTCCAGTGAATACAAGGCATTTTAGGAGGCTGAACAATATCTTTTCTTATCATCCATAAAGGTTAAAGGTATTTATCTGATTTAATATTTTATAATTTAATGTTAAGTGACACAGAAGAATAGCACAGGCAGGCCAAGAGGTGGCTGCAGTGACACAGCAGAAGCCACTCTCTGCTCTCCCAGCAATGCCCATTGACCTGGGCATGAGCCAGGTTTGGGAACAACATCCCTTGACCACCAGCTCTTCAGAAAAGTGGATTTTGTGCTGTGCCCTGCTGTGGTGAGGACCCCAGCTGCCAAGGTCAGCTCCCCCACACCTACAACACTGCCACTTGACCCTATTTCAGTGTCACATTTGCAGAAGCTGGTGCTCTACCATCACATTCCAGGGGATGAAACATTTTATAGAATCATAGGATCATGGAATTATTAAGGTTGGAGAAACCCTGTAAGATCATTGAGTCCAGCTGCCAGGTTCACCACTAAACCATGTCCCTAAGGGCCACATCCATGTTTTTTGAACACTTCCAGGGATGGTGACACCACAACTGCCCTGGGCAACCTGTGCCAATGCCTGATCACTTTTTCTGTGAAGGACTTTTCCCCAAAATCCAATCTAAACTTTCCCCTGGTACAACTTGAGTCAGTTTCCTCTCATCCTATCCCTTGTTCCGTGAGAGCAGTGCTCAATCCCCAACCAGCTGCACCCTCCTGTCAGGGAGTCATGGAGCACAAAAAGGTCCCCTCTGAGCCTCCTTTCCTCTGGGCTGAGCCCCCCCAGCAGCTCCAGCCCCTTTCCCAGCTCTGGACATGCTCCAGCCCCTCCATGTCAGTCTTGGGGTGAGGCTCTCTTGCAGTGCCTGTATCTCCAGCCTGCCTGTCCTCTGTCCTTTCCCTTGTCAGGAACACAGCCTTGACCAAACTGCTCCATCCTCCATGGAGGGAAGGAGTGAGAGAAGAGGGAAGGTGTAGGGGTTTGGTCTCAAAAACAGGTTCCAATTCCCAGGAGGACCCAAGGCAGGCACCAATGCTCTCCACAGTGGTGACTTTGAATCTGGGGGAGCAGCAGGTCAGGACCACCACCCCTTTCTGGGACTGCCCCATCTCTCATGGGGCAGGTGGGGAGCAGGTGCCCCATTTCTCCAGCCATGCAGTCCTTCAGTAAGTATTGCCTGTTTTTCATCTCTGGTAGGGAATGGAAATGAGGAGGTTATTCTCTGCTGAAACATTCTGGAAAAGTCAGAGCTGAAATCTCTCACTTTTCTCTTCCATCTGTTTATTTTTATCACTTAATAACACGTCTGTCTCGTCAACTATTCCTGACACTGTGGCAAGAAAATCCAACTCAGTGAAGACAGATTTATCAAAGAGACATTAGCTCTTCCTTACTGTGTGACACCACGTCAGCTCTTCTCCTGCACATGAAGTCTGGTCTGTAATTTCAAAGTGTGTCTTCTATCTCTTTGAGGGGGTGATATGACCAATATATTTGAAATTGTTGCTTGTTATGTGAAAGGTTATCCAAACTGTGAAGATAAGAAGCAATTTCAAGTGCTTCAAGGAGTCTCCTTTTTTTGATGTGTTTTTCTCTTCACTGCCACATGATGTTACAGACCTAATTTCAAGAGATTAGTAACAATTGCAAAACAGTAATTGAAATAATCTGTGATAGAGGACAGAACTCTGGGACAGCATGAGAAGTCTGTGCTATCAATAATTTCTCACCATTAATAAGAAAATCGTGGTCTGCAAGCTTCACAGTGACACCAGACCTGCTCCTGCTTCCCCAGGAGGTGCCCAGGTCTCTGCAGAGGTGCCTGAATGAAGGTCAGCAGTGTGAATCTCCTCATGAGTCACCCCAGGTTTATCAGCTTGACAGTGGATGGCTTCACTCACTCACCCCTTTTGTTTCAAACTGTGCTCCTGGCTTCATTCCTGAACCATCCACCTGATGGGGAGGCCTGGAAGAACTGAATCTGAACAATGTGACATTTTCAAATCAGCTCTTTTACCACTTTTTCCTTATTTTCTTGCCCTGTCATGAGTTTTGTTTTATAAGTTTTGAATCCAGCTAAGCTGAACCAATGTCCTTGTTTGCTTTTTGCACAGGGAGCAGGGATATTTCACTGAAACTGAATCTTGAAACTCCCAGTTTGGTGTTCAGAATCCCTCAGAACACATGCATTCTTCTGGGCATATTCTGTAGCACAACCACAGCGTTGGTTGGGAGGGAAATACTCCAAATTTCTGTTGGAAGCAGGACAGTTGCCAGCACTGGGAAAGGAGAGCAGAGCTGTGGATGTCTCCATGTGCAAAACACGATGGATAAAGGCTGTGTGACACACTGGCTGTGAGAGCAGCACCTGGATTTAAAGATTCCCTCCTCACTAGAACCGAGCCTGTCTCTCCCATTTCTGCCTTGTGCATGGTCCTGTTGTGCTCAGAGGAAGTTGACTTCCAGTAGCTGGTGTTCCAGAAGCAACCCTCAGCATTTCAGAAAACAGGTGATTCCCATATCCCATCAGTTCACAAGATCATCCTCTTCACCCCTTGTCCACATGAAAGGCAGCATTAACTTCTAGAGAACTAACCCTTTGGGAAGCTCCTTCCTTCCT